CTACCACTATTTGAATTTATTGATTGTTGAATATGGATTCCCATATGAATATATTAATCAGGTTTAAGTTCTCTATTCAATTAATTCATCCATTTCTGCAATATCTGCCAATATCCATTCAATGCTTGTGCTTGAACCAAAGTTTAAGGGTTATGAAGAGAACATTTTTATCATTATTATTGGCATGGATCTAGGCCTTACATAAAGAACTGAACAACCTACTACTCTTACGAATAAGAGCTTTGCTAATAAATACAAGACTTGGATAAGTGGGATCATTCAAATGACACAAGTTTTACGACCATGAAGCGTGGAATTTCAGTAACATTTAGGGGTGCTAAGTCCTATAAGGTGAATACTATCTAGAAATTTTTGAAGAAATTGAAAAATGTTTTGTTAAAAGCAATTGCCTGAAACTTGTATGCTTCTGGTGAGAATGGTTTCACTAAAGTATAAAGATCAAGGAAATATACGGAAGTACATAAGGAAATATCTCATCTTGGTTCAATTCTAAAGGCATTAAAGCTTGAGTTACCTTATGACTTACTCGTGCATTTGGTTTTGATTTCCCTTCTTGCACAATTCAGTTAATCTAAGGTTGGTTACAACTGTCAAAAGGGAAGAAAGGCAAGCAGAGAGAATTGAAAGTGCTCACTTGGCAAGTATCTACAAGGACAAGTTCAAGAAATGAAAGAGTAAGAAAGTTGCATCTAATTCAGTTCAGAAAAAATAGCAAAAGCCTAAAACGGTTAATCATATGGTTGTTACTTTTGTGAGCATCCTACACACATCAAGAGGGTCTATACTAAATACCACGCTTGGAGCATAAAGGGGAGGAGTACACTTCTTACTTTGGCTTCTTGTGAGGTTAATTTAGTTTCGGAACCTGAACACACTTGGTGAATAAATTTTGCTACCACTACTCATATAAATGTGTCTATGCAAGGTTTCCTAAATAGCCAAAAGTCAAATGATGCTGAAAGATTTATTTATATGGATGATGGAAAGTTAGTTAAAGTTGAGGTTAGAGGAAATTTTAGGTTATTTTTAAAGATTGGTTATCATTCCTAGGTAGATATCATTCCTAGGTAGAATTTGGTTTATGTTCCTAAATTGGACAAATTCTGTTTACTCTTGTTTTAGAAATAGTCAGTTTAGTCTTTTTTCTATATTCAAATATTGTGGGTACCAGTTCTTTATCTAGTTATGACAACCTATATTTGCCTAATATAGTTGCTTCTTATAAAGAAACCTTGTATGTGTTCACGTGGTATTAACATAAATTAATCAATAAGAATTCTGCTTCCTATGATACAAGTGATTAGGTCACATCTCTCAAAAGAGAAAGAGTTACAGTTAATGATATTCCAAATTTCATCAAATAATTATCTCATTTGGTTTTGAGATGAATGCAGTTAATGGTTGTGTTTATCAAAAGTTCAGTAGAAATAAGCATATTTTTTGGTATTATATGCCAATTACGTACTACTTGCCTGCAATAATATAAGCCTATTAAATGAAATTAAGAGACTTCTAATCATGGAACTTTAAATTTAAAGATCTTGGTGACACCTCTTTTGTACTAGGGACATAGATACTTCTCGGGGTATTTTCGATTATTACAAAGAAGCTATATCTATCAATAAGGTTTTAAAGAGATTTACGATGTAGGAATGTAACCAGGTGATATCCCTATTGCTAAGGGAGATAAGTTTAGTCTCATATGTCACAAAGATAAACTTAAAATATTGAAATATAGAACATTTATTGTCCTTCAGCAGTTGAGAGTTTAATATATGCTTATGTCTGAACAGATTCGGATATAGCATTCGTTGTTGAAATGTTGGGTAGATAATTAAGCAACTCTGGGATGGATATTTGAAAACCAGCCAAACAGGTTGTTTGATATCTATAGAAAACTAAGAATTATATGATAACAAACAAAAAATCCGAAAAATTAAAAATTATTGGATATTATGATTCTAAGTATGGAATATGATTGAAAATTTTGTCATTGGGCTGCACCATTTTACTTGGATTTGAAAGACCACTTCAGTTAGTTAGTCTCTGACAATAGGAGTCTTGTATTTCAATAGTAGCTTGATGAATTAAAGTTTATAGACATCAAAGTTCTTAGTTGTTAAGGAAAAAAATAAAGATTAGTTAGTTTCTATAGAGCATATTGGGATAAATTCCATGACTACGGATCCGTTTACTAAAGAACTATCGCCAAAGGCTTTCATGAGCATACTAATCAGTTGCATCTTTTGATGGTATGGTAGTTTAGTGGGAGTTTGTATTTGGATTTTGTCTACTTTAGATAGAAATTTTTTATCCATAGATATCCAGTGTATTTCAAAATAAGGTATTCACTTTAGTTTCACTCTAATTAAAGCTTTGGTTTGATCTCATTAAAAAATAAAGTAGGACCAATTGTAAATAGGTATGTTTAGATCATATTATATGTAATTTTCATGCTACAAATCCATACCTAACCTATGTCATTTGATTGTATTGATATATGTGACCATTGATGGACTTAGTTAAGATAATAGTAACAGAGACCACCTTGATCCTATATTGACATAATTAATGGATGAGATTGTTCGGAAATGCTCTTAGTTATGATAGCAAAATTTTGACATCATAATGTTATACACATTTATAAGGAAACATATGTGTCCCAAGTGGGAAATTGTTGAGTTTTAATTTGTCATGTGGGCCCACATATATAATTGATTGTGTATAAAGACTTTTAAGGTTAAGCCCAACTATTGCAGTTGTGCATGCTAGATCCGCTGAATTTTACAGGCCCCGCCCTTTCTTAGATAAGTGAAGTTACAAGGAAGATTGAAGAAGAAGCGGGGAAGAAGATGCGGGGAAGTTATAGGGGAAGCAAAAGGGGAAGAAGGTGTATTCTTGGGCCATTTTCTTGTTTTTAGATTTTGGACCTTTTCTTTATTTGGCTTTAAATAAAGGGGGAGAAAAAAAAAACAATGACCCATTAAGAATTGCAAAGGAAACAAGCCCATAGACCTTTTTATTTCATACAACATTTCATCTCATACCAAACCCTATCCTCTAAGTTCTACCTCTCAACTGCCTGGCTCTCGTTCTCCGACTCACATCATCACATAGGATGCCGTAACCACCCAGCTTCATGGTTGCTCTTCTAAAAATAGGTGAAATGTTTAGGCTTTTTATTAGTCTTGTGTTGTACCCAAAAAAAAAAAAAGGTTTTTAGGGTTTTGGCAACATGGTATAATTTTTCTACATGTGGCTAAAATTTTGCATCAAGTCATTTGACCAATGAGGTAGTTCATTTGGTTATGTTCTGCATTTTTGCTTCACTTCTTTATAATTTATTAATTTTCTATCTAATTTTGTATATTACTTGATGCATAAATACACATATTGATAGAAATGCACTAATACACAGTTTGAGTATGCATGATTTTGTTTATTTTCTGTATAATTTTATATATCTCTTGATGATGCATAGGTAATTTTCTGTTTTATGAGATGATTGTGAGTTCTCTGATTTATCATTTTTGATTTATAATTTATTATGAGTTATAATGTGAAAATTTTGGATTTTGTGAATTTGAGAATATGCGATATATGTGAACTGAAGTACGTGAATATGTGATAAGTGAGAACGATAAATTTACAATTTAGTGCATTTACAAATAGATTGAAAAATTGTTAATATTATTTAATTAATTATTAACAAACAATCTTGCTATTACGATTGTTGACATCGAAGGTCAATGGTCAATAATTGTCCTACCTGACCTCAAATCCTGGATTGGCGACTGCATAGAGAGACTCAAATTTATAGTTCACAAAGAGATAGGGGCGGAGCCCCAATAGGTCTACCCGCACTGAACTTTTGGGCTCCTGTAGGCCCAAAAATTAATTTTTTTTTAAAGCCTGGTTCTTCAATCTCCAACCCAGATGGAAGCCCAATTGCCCACAGCCCATGACCTGTTTGCTGACCCAAACCCGGAATGTTGATTTAAATCATTCAATTAACCTGAAATCAAAACCAAACCCTTGAATCAGAATCACGTCTCTCTCCATCTTTCTGCTCTGGCCTTGCTTCTCTCAAAACTTCGACTCACAGTCACTGGCTTCTACTTCCAGTCCACCGGCGGCCAACATCTCCTAGATTTAGGGGCTCTAATCTCCGATCCAGTAAGTGTATCCGCTATGATCCCCAATGTCGAAACCCCAATCCTCCCCCACCGCAAGTCCGCAACTACATCACTGCCTGCCGCCTGCCAGGCCAACTAAAGAAGAAGAACTGAAGGAGTCGTAGCCCTGATGAACGAAGAAGGTGACTTTGATTTCAATTTCAGCCTCCAATTTCAATTTTTTCAGTATAGTGATGATTTTTATTTTTTTTAGAGCTAATGGTTTTAGGGTTTAGGGATATTGGATATTTCAAACTAGCATGAATTTGTAGTTTGAGAAGAACTAACTTAGCAGAAATAGTTGGGATTGAGTGGAATAATACTTGCTAACTTCCATTGCGTTCGACAAGGCACTCGCTTTCGATTTTGGAGCCGTCACCGTCGGTACCTGCTTTGGATTGGAAATTGCGAACCACTGTGTGAAATTGTAAGTTCAAGTTGCTTAAGATTTAGAAATAGTATAAATTGCATTGTGAAATTGCGAATTGGAAGGTGAATTGATATTGTGAAATTTGATTGATAGTGTGAAATTGTGAATTGTGAATTGGTTTGTGAAATAGTATAAATTGCATTGCGAAATTACGAATTCGAAGGTGAATTGATATTGTGAAATTGGATTGATAATGTGAAATTGTGAATTGTGAATTGGATTGTGAAATGTGAATTGCACTGCAAATTGAGATTGTGAAATTGTGAATTTATGATTCTTTTGTGATTATGAATTATTCTCACACACTCCCAGTAATAATTGGATATCAAATGTTTAAATTCAGATATCAAATGAATAGATACTTTCAACGAAAAATGAACATAGATAATGTTGATAAGGAGGTATCGAATAATGTGGAATTTGATGTCACAAAACCTCCAACTGATCCTGGTCTAAGGATACCCATTTTCGATTACAATGCTAACATCCGAGATGATGTTCGAAGAGCATATATGTTAAAGGGTCCTTGTCAGCCCCAAGATCATGACTTTTCAAAATGACAATTTGGAGTAAAATTAGACGATTCAATCCTTCGTGGTTTAAAGAGTTCGGTAGTTGGTTGGAGTACAATGTAGAGAAGGATACTGCTTATTGTTTGTATTATTATCTTTTCAAAACAAGTTCTGGAAAGAAAGTGGAGGTGAGTCTTTTGTTGGTTAAGGTTCTACATACTGGAAAGATAAAAAAAGGCTTCATACTCATGTTGGACTTCATGATAGTGCACATAATCAAGCTCACATTAAGTGTGAAGTGTTGATGAATCAAGAGCAACACATTCAATCAGTTTTCTACAAACAGTCAGAACAAGCAAGAAGTGCATATGTTACACGTCTTACTGCATCCATTGATTGTGTTCGACTTCTTTTGCGACAAGGGCACTCATTTCGAGGTCATAATGAATCTGAGGATTCTCTCAATCCAGGTAACTTCTTAGTGTAATTGCAATTTTTGGCTGCTCATAATGAAGTTATTAATGCCATCACATTGGGAAATGCTCCTCACAATTGCAAATTGACATCAACTGATGTTCAAAAGGATATAGTAAATGCTTGTGCTATTGAAACAATTAATGTTATTATCAAAGATGTTGGCGACTCATTGTTTTCTATTCTAGTTGATGAATCTCGTGATGTGTCAATGAAGGAGCAAATATCTATTGTTTTACATTATGTAGACAATAGTAGGCATGTCAATGAATGCTTCATAGGGATTGAACATGTTACAAGTACCACGAATCTATCACTTAAGGCTGCAATTGATAAGGTATTTTCTAGATATAACTTGAGCATGTCTAGATTGAGAGGACAAGGTTATGATGGAGCAAGTAATATGCAAGGTAAGTTTAATGGTCTGAAAATACTCATTTTGAAGGAGAGTTCATGTGCCTTTTACATTCACTATTTTACTCATCAACTCCAACTTACGCTTGTTGCTGTGGCAAAGAAGAACATCCCTATTACTAACTTTTTTCGTGTGGTTGGGGACGTGATATATACTATTGGAGCATCTTCCAAATGTAGTGATCTTCTTCGAGAAAAACAATTAGACTTTATTATTGAGGCATTGGAAAAAGGTGAGATTTTAAGTAGACCGGGACTTAATCAAGAAACGACCCTTCAGTGCTCTAGTGATACACAATGGAGTTCACATTATAATTCTTTGGTCAGCTTGCTTTTCATGTTCTCTTCTGTTTTAAATGTACTTGCAATGATTGTTGAAAATGAATCTCGTTCTTGTGATCAAAGATCTTATGCAACAAATTTATTGGAGTCGATACAAAAATTTGATTTTGCATTTAATCTACAGTTGATGAGAAGTGTCTTGGGGATGTCAAATGAACTGTCAAAGGCATTGCAAAAAAAAAAGATCAAGATATTGTTAATACAATGCAATTGGTGAGATTGTGCAAACGACGACTCCAAATAATGAGAGATGAAGGGTGGGACTCCTTTTTGGAAGAAGTATGTTCTTTTTGTCAATAACATTACATTCATGTACCCACATGGATGATATATTTGTGCACCTTGCACTTCATGGTCGCCCTTAGCGTAATTCTCCAAAAATTGCAAATTTACATCATTATTGGGTAGATTTGTTCTATTTTGTCATCGATTTACAACTTCAAGAATTGAATGATAGTTTCTCGGAGGTAAATACAGAGTTACTCCTTTGTGTAGCTTGTTTATGTCCACAAGGTTCATTTTCTTCTTTTGACAAGTAAAGCTTGATTAGACTTGCTAAACTTTAGCCATTAGATTTCTCTGTAGTAGATGTCATTGTACTTAACGATCAACTTGAGACCTATATTTTTGACATGCGTTCTAACAAATAGAATGAAGAGTTGAATGACCTTGGTGATCTTGCGGAGAAGTTAGTTCTGACAAAGAAAGATAGGGTATATCCATTGGTTTACAAACTTTTGACTTTGGTATTGATTTTACCGGTTGCTACTGCTATTGTGGAAGTCTTTTCTGCAATGAGCATTGTAAAGGATAGATTGCGCAATTGGATGGGTGATCAATGGATGAATAATAGCAAAATTGTTTATGTAGAGAAAGATATATTTTTGAAGCTCGATAATAAAGTTATTGTACGACGATATTAAAATATGAAAACTCGCAAGGAACAAGTTTAATATATAAATTTTGTCATTTTTAGTATTGTTCTAATATTGTTTTATTTTTTTTATCATCATTAAATTTATGACCAAAACCTCGAAGTTCAGCGTCGAAAAATGATGCCCGCACTGAACACAGATTCTGGCTCTGCCCTTGCAAAGAGATCAACTTACCAGTGAAGAATTTGTATAATTTTTCCAAGAAGTGGATGCGAAAGCCAGAGCACCTGAAAAATTATACTCGTAGGTGAACATGTAGTGGTTCATGGATCCACTACTATGGCTACGACCATCGACCTGTACACTTACGTCACTTTTGGCTTCCTCACGCGTTCTAGTATCTTTTAAATTTCTCAGTTCCCAATACTAATTTTGGTTGTGGAGTTCTGTGATACATGTTGGATTCTGATAGTTAGAATATTTTATGAATTCTAGTAATTGAGTGGATACCTTTTTTGTGATTCGTATTTTATTTTAATTAATTTGAGTATTTTATTTGGGATTTATAACCCTTTAAGGTTTTTCAGTAATTAGGTGTTGTTGATACTTTTTTTTTGTATTCTAATTAATTTCAATATTTTATTTACTATTCCTATTTGATCCTGATTAATTAAACTGCAATTTTCTCTTGGCATAATGATTTGTAGTGGTTGGATTTTGCAAATACTAATAATTCTATATATAAATTCAAATAAACTAGAAAACTGAACAAAAAAAATATGAATTAAAACTAAAATGCTACAAAAATTACGAAAATACCGTTAAATTGATTCAAAATAGAAAAATGCCAAAACGGACCACTCAAGGACAAAAAATTGACAATCGATCTGAAAGTTATGCACATTTTCATAGATCCTTCTTATTTCTGCAATGTTACAATTGGTTTTCGAATTTAGAAGACTGATACTCATTACATATGATGTGAAAGAATAAAATAATAAATAAAACTGCAGAATATATGAATTACTAAAAGGAGAATAAATTTGCAAATCGAGGCCTGTGTATTACATAGTGCCATTAAAATAGATTTGATCCGTTCTAGTAGGTGCTTGAGGTTTCATTTAAGCGTCTAAGGTTGGCCAAAATCCAAATTAACCTATCTAAATTGTCCAAACCGATCGGTTCAAGTTTTTTTATTTTTTTATTTGGGTTCGGGCTTTGGGTGAATGAGGCAGGTCAGGTTAGATTGGGTCATGGGTTGACCCCATGAAAACAGATTAAAATCGCCTAATCCAACCTACTTGGTTGAAAAAAAAAAAGAAAAAAAAAACTCAAATTTTAATCAAATCTCATGAGACACAAACAATACACAACCCTAACTTTCCATCTTTCTCTCGCTCTTGCTCTCACTCTCAAGAACTCGCTGATAGGACTGGGCAAAATCCAAACCAACCCATCTAAACCTTCCAAATCGTTTGGGTTGATTTTTTTATTATTTATTTATTTTTTTTATTTGGGTCCAAGTTTTGGGTGAAGGAGGCAGGTTGGGTCGGGTCATGGGTTGACCCATGAAAATCGATTAAAATAGCCCGACTCGATCCCCTTAGTTAAAAAAAACTCATATTTTAATCAAAACTCATGAGACACAAACAAAACACAACCCTAACCTTCCATCTCTCTCTCACTATCACTATCAGGAACTCGTCGGTACCATAATCTTCCATCTCTCTCTCACTCTCAAGAACTCGTTGACGCCACCTCTCCTATTTTCTCTTGCTGGCGTCGATAATCCATGGTCAAAGGTCTTTTGAAAGGTAGTTATAACTTGTTTCTTCATCATTGGATCTATTTTAGTTCTTCATTATTTCTACATTTGCAGAAATCAAGAAAAAAAATAGACAAGGAAATAGGAATAGATGAGTGTGATTCGTAATGTTACTTGCCGATAATCTTTGAGCGATAGTCATCTGCATTTTCCTTTCTTTTTAAACACAAAAGGACAACTATTGGTGATTGGCATCTCTAAGCTCTACTTGTTCATGGTTCAAATGAAACTTTGCTAACTTTTTCACATCTTTTTAGTATTAGCAAATTACATAATAAAGGACTTCTAAACTTCTATTATGTCATTTTCTGTTAGGATGTCAATGGTGATAGAGTAGCACTCAACATCCCCAACTCTGTTAGGGATTTTCGAAAGGAGACGAGAAATGTATTAAATATTTTCATGCCCTGTTATAGTGACCCGCATTTGCCATCCCTAATTTCCAATTATCCATGTGTGATGTGTCATACCAAACAAGAACTAAGTAAAATGAACTGAGACAGAGAATAAATTTTTTCATTTATCTCGGTTTGACATGTCAAATATAATTCAAGAATCTCGAGTTCCATGTGTTAGATTTAAAATCTTTACGAATCTTGATATATAGAAAAAATCCTTTCTTGATGTCAAAATCTTCCATATCAAATCATCAAGAGAACTAAAAAGTGAATCATTCTATTCCATTTTTTAAAATGATTTCTATCCAATTTTTATTAACCTTTTTGTGGCTGTACTAATGCAGGTGTAAAATGGACACAATTGATGTAGATATCTCTGAAGGAAAAGACACATCACAATTGGAAACAACATTGAAGTTTGAAAAAGATTTTGAAAGATTTGAAAATGAGGATACACAGTATTTGCATTACTTTCGAGAGGACGATGGTGGTAGAAGGAGGAGTGCACCTTCTTCAAAGTTACACTGGGAAAATGGATCCGTGTTTGTCAAGTTTCTTCAAAATTTCTTTAATGTGACTTTGACTTTTAGTGCGTCATTGTGTGTTAGTACTTGTACTCATCTTCATGAAATATGTAATCTTGTTATAGAATTGAATGAATGGATATTAAGCGGCAATTTCTTGTTGAGTGAAATGGTGACTAACATGAAGAAGAAGTTTGATAAATATTGGGGTAAAATGGAAAATGTGAATCAGTTGTTGCTTATTGCTACTATCCTTTATCCTAGATACAAAATGGATTGTGTTGAATACTATTTTGGTGATCTATACCTGGACAAGGACGTTGTTAGTAGCATGATGAAATCTTGAAAACCAATTTGATGGATATTTATGAGTGGTATGTAGATCGTGAAAGTCAGGGGCGGATCTGAAGGGGGGCCTATAAGGTCAATTGACCCCTAGTTTTTAAGATTTTTTCAATTAGTAGGTCAAAACTCAAAGTTTAAAACCAAAAATCTATGACAATCGACAGTAAACTCGTCTCTCTCTCTCTTGTCTCTCCTAACTCCCACCATTTGAAGCCCCTAAAACCACTGCCATCGCTAGCCATCGGCCCACTAACACGATAACACCGTTTACTTTCTCTTTCCCATCGGCCACCATTTCAAGTCTTCACTGCCATTTTGCACAATCAACAATCGTACTTCAATTTTCTTTAGTTCTTCGATGTCGCACCTTCGCCACATTTTCTTTCTAACTTCCAACTGGCATCCACAGATCAGCCTCCGTGTCCAATAGTCCATCCAATATCCACCCTTGCATCTGCCGTCTTCTACTCTTCTTGAAGGTGTATCACATTTCCATTTCAATTTAGTTATTTTATTTAGATTCCTCCAATTTTAGTTTATGAAATGTGTGTTAGTTCTATTTCTGAATTTTGATTTATATACAATACAACTTATTGAGTTATTCCTACCAAATAAAATTGGGTTAGGGATTTTTTATTTTAGATTTAGGAATTAGAACTTTGATATAGGAATTTAGGGATTTTTTATTTAGGGCTTTGTTATTTATATGTAAATTGATTTAGGGAGATTGAAACTTTGTCTAAATTTTGTGATGAGCAAAATATCAGCCAAAGGAATGTTCGAGAGAAAAGGGATGAAAATGATGTTGGGAATGTTAATGTTGGAGATGTTGGAGGTATTGGAGGTGTTGGGGATGTTGATGTTGCATAGGTTCCCTCAGATATTGGATTAATAGTTCCAATATAGAATTATGATGTTAATGTTCGAGACGTGATTCGAAGAGCATATGTACAAAGGGGTCCTTGTCAACCTCGCAATCATATGTTTCCACCCACAATAATAGGTAAAAAAGACAAGTGATTTTGTGTTTCGTGATGTAATGAACATCCTACTTGGTTGGAATACAATATAGCAAAAGATGTAGTTTTTTTCCTTTTATAGTTATCATTTTAGTTTGAGTGGTGGTTCATTTGTTAAAGGAGAATTCTTAAATTGAAAAGAAGAAAGAATATATGAAAAAACATGTTGGGGCTTTAAATAGTACACACAATCAAGCTCGGGTCAAATATGAATTGTTCAAGAATCAAGAAGAAAGTATTCGATCTTATCTAGTTAAGCAATCGCATCAAGCTCGAACAGATTATCGAATTTGATTGTGTTTGATTTCTTCTTCGACAAGGGATGGCATTTCATGAGCACAATGAATCTGAAGATTCAAAAAATCAAGGAAACTTTCTTGAACTATTGCATTGGTTGTATGATCATAATGTTGATATTAAGGCCATTGCTTTGACGAATGCACTGAGAATTTTTAAATAACATCACCAAGAATGAAAAAAGATATTGTGAGTGCTATTGCATCTGAATGTCTATAGTGATTATCAAAGATGTTCATGATAGTTTCTTCTCCACTTTAGTTGATGTATCTTGAGATATTTCTGTGAAGGAGCAAATGCCAATTGTCATTCGTTATGTGAAGAATAGGTGTGCATTAGAACATTTTATTTGTGCCATTCATGTTTCGAGTACCACAGTTGCCTCACTTAAGGCTGCAATTGATCAATTATTCTCAATGCATAGCTTGAATATATCTAATTTGAGAGGTCAGGGATATGATGGAGCTAGTAACATGTGAGGTGAGTATAATGGCCTCAAAGCACTTATTTTAAAAAAATCTAAGTGCTTACTACATTCATTGCTTTGCTTATCAACTTCAATTAACTTTTGTGGTTGTGGCACTGAAACATCCAAAGATTGAAACTTTATTCACTACAGTGCACAAATTAGTGAATTTTGTTAAAAGATCAGCTAAACGGAGTAATCTTATTAGAGAAAACCAAAGATTGAAAATTCTTGAATCAATCAGTGTTGGTGAAATATCAAGCGGACAGGGTCTCAATCAAGAAATTACTCTTTAGCGTCCTAGTGATACACGTTGGGGGCTCTCACTATAGTTGTTCAATTAACTTGATTGTCATGTGTTCAAACATGGTTGACGTTATTGAGATGATTGCCACTGACACTACTAGTATTGGAACAAAAGGTGATGCATGTATTTAATTAGAGTTGATGTTAAGATTTGAATTTGCATTTAATCTACATCTCATGAAAAGGATTTTAGGGATTTCAAACGACTTGTCGAGAGCATTAAAAGAAAAGATCAAGATATTGTCAATGCTATGAGATTGGTGCAAATATGTAAAACGTGGCTTCAAACTATGAGGGATGATGGATGAGATTCTTTTTGGGAGTGGTTTGTTCATCTATGAAACTCACAAGTTCAATGTTCCCAATATAGATAATATGTTCAAAACTCTAGGTTGTTCACTGTGTGAGACGATAACAAATTTCCATCATTTTCATGTGGAAATATTTTATGTCATCATTGATATACAACTTCAAGAGTTGAATGATCGTTTATTTGAGGTAAATAGTACCTGCTCAATTGTGTTGCGTGTTTGTCTATAAATAATACATTTGTTGCTTTCAACAAAACCAAATTGATTCGACTATGTTAGTATCATCTGGAAGATTTTGATGCAATAGATATCTTAGAATTTGATGATCAACTAGATACATATATTCTTGATATGCACACTTCTAAAGATTTTGAAGGATTATAAGGCATTAGTGATCTTGCACAGAAGTTGGTTGCAAAGAATAAACATGAAGTGTATCCATTAGTCTACAAGCTTATGATGTTAGCATTAGTTCTTCCCATGGCTATTGCTACAGTCGAGAGAGCATTTTCTGTGATGACTTACGTCAAAAATCGTCTGCACAATCAAATCGTAGATCAATGGTTGAATGATAGTTTGATTGCATATATTGAGAAAGATTTTTTGATAAGACTGAAAATGATGTAATTATGAAATGTTATCAAAGTATGAGAACATGTAGAGAGCAATTGTAATAAGATATCTCTTATTTTAATGTCTTTCTCATTTTTTTAAAAGTTTGATTGTGACCCCCTAATTTAAAATGTCTGCGTTTGACTCTGGTAAAGGTGTTGGTGGAAGTAGTCAACTATCAATAGAGGATTCTTTAAGTTCTTTCAATTCAGATAAAGGTAGCTCTTCTTTGAGTGATGCTCGTCTTTCTAAGTTTATGGAAAAAAAAGTTAGTAAAAGATTGTGCTGTGGTAAAAAATGATGTAGAAAGGTATTTATTGGACGCTTGTGAAAGTATAGAGAACAAGGACTTTGATATTCTTGATTGGTGAAAGGTTAACAAAAATAAGTACGGTGTTTTGTCTTTAGGGACGTGTTGGTGATCCAAGTTTCAACCGTTCACTACACCAAAAAAGACCTTTTGCAGCGTTTTAGCGTATGTTGCAGAGGTCGATGTTGTTATTGAGGGATGAGTTTTTGCAGTGCTTTTTCAATGTTGCAAAAGACAGTCTTTTGCAGCGTTTAAACAACGATGCAAAAGACCGCCTTTTGCAACGTTGAACAAATACTACAAAAGGCAGTCTTTTGTAACATTGTTTAAACGTTGCAAACGACTAGTTTTTGCAATGTTTTTTGACCGTTGCCGTAGAATTTTTTTTATATATAGTAAATTGACTTGCAAAATTGAAAATAACACTTTGTGAACAAATTTTGGAATTGCATAAAAATTAATAATTTCATTACAAATTTTTGAATCAATACACTTGAACATTAAAATGTAATACAATACCACCTAACTAAAAAGGAGTAAGGATTAAAGAGTTCTTGTTGCATCCTCTAGACAGGTCGAAACTACAATAAACTATCCAAACTACAAATTGCACAGAAACAATGGCATTGGAGACGAAGAGACAAATCAAGTAACCATAATATAACATAAATATCACCAGTTAATTGAAGCAATCGAATTTCAACTATTTCACAACCCCAGAGCGATAAATTAACCTTGCCTGAAGTGACTTTCACCAGTTCTACAAACATAACTCAAAAGGGATAACAAATAGCTGAGCACCGAGAAAAACAGCTTCTTCCGTGTCAACTCGCCTATGATATTTCCCGAAACCGGGCAATGGCCTTCTTTTGAATAACAGCTTTATAACTATCTCCAGCCCGCACTTCGAGTTTTGGATCCAACTTCTTAAGCTGATTCCCTAGTACCGCTCTAGTATCCATGACCTGAACTTAGACAAGCTCTACCATGCCACTTCCATCTTTCCCCAAGCCCTAGTTATGTGATCAATAGAGAGAAACCAATCAAAAATTCTAGAAAGCAAAGTCGGATACTAAAATAAACAAAATGTAATGCCACTGTCACTTTAGAGCTGATGGATGCCAACAAGTTATGGTGCAAATGAGTCTCCAAAAGACCAGAGAGGAATATATAGGACAAATTTGGAGAAAATAGCCCTTAAGATTCTAGCCTCTCAAGAACAAGAAAAATATTCGACATAGTACTTACACAAAAGCAATTCAAATTGTTTACGAACAAACTTTACATAAGCGTGCACATAGATTTTGACAAGGAAACTTACCCATATTCGCTGACAGACATTTTTCTCCGGCCAAACATCGAATTCCTTTGTGATGAGCATAGGAAACATATAGCCCTCATGAAATGCATCTCTGCTTCTACTCTTGAAAATCCATTCACCTAATTTATCCTGTAAGAAAATGCAATGGAGGAAAATAAGAGGACATAAAGTTTTCGGGCATGTATTGTATGTTGGATTGGACAACATTGAATATAATTAATAAAGAAGATGCTTTCAAAACGTTATTTAGCACTACATACACAATAAAATTCGATAAGAATAATGCATACTAACCCTAAGAGCTATTAAATGGCTTTTCCCGTAAATTGCTAAAATGGGCATTTTCAAAACGAAACCAAATTGACAAACCAATCTTCCTCATGCCATTATGCTTTTGAAATAAATAAGAAAATTTTCTTGCTACCATGGTTGAAAGATTATTAGAAAAATAAAATATCAAAATCCAAGAACCTAACAGATGGCATCATAATTATATCTACACTAAATAATCCGTGGACCATGTTTAAGCAGAATCTTTGTCAACAACATTGCCTAATCTCTAAATTCTCTACAATATGCAAATGAGATGTAGCTCAAGTGGCAAAGTTGAAGACCGAGGGACCATGGGATTCATGCAATACCAATAAAGGACTCTTATTTGCCCTACTATATTATCAAATTATTTGAAATGTCAAGATTTACATACAATTAAGTCCATTAAGGCGGCTGACATTGCAAAATATTTTCATATTGCTCGAGATGCTAAAACCACATTCAGTAGAATTTAGACTTAAAACTTACATGTAAGGGGAGGGTTCCCAAGTGATTACATGTCCACAAGTCAAGCCTTAACAATATAAGACACATTAGGGTTATTACACTCCACTCATTTCAAAGTCGACGTCCGTGATGGACCATATTCTCAATGGGCTACATTAATAAACCCATCTTTTACTTTTAAGTAACCCTCCCTCCCAATTCACCTATTGGCAATGAGGATCGTCCTGAGAATGGTGGCTAGTCTCATACAATAGCCATGGCCATGCTAGATTGGACTCACCCTCCAAACTTGTTTGTAATGAAATGGTGGTTAAGTATAAACCCACAAATCAAGGCCTTACTTTAGGGGAGTGGTTATCAGTTATCACTTAGAGTAAATGCAAACAAAGCATAGTCACAAGTGCATTGCTAGAAAAATGTAGTAATGAAGTTCAACGTATCCACAGTG